TTTACTGGACTCAGTGGTCCTCCGCAATCTAAACCATTCCCTTTTTCATTTGCTTGAGCTGAAGCGAAATTCTTTGTGGAGTTTCGCACGATCGGGAGCTCCTTCGCAAGAACTGATCCTGCCATGTGAATCCTTTTGAAACGAGATTTATAAATGTATTTACAGAGGGAATGAATTTCTGCTATATAAGTGAATTAAGGGAAGATTCCGTTTAGGCTAGAGCATAAATGAACCGTATGATATCACATAATATCACAGTCCAAATGTTAACGAAGTCACTGAATTGGATCTGCTAGATAATGCCTCCCTGCAGTGCTGGGAGGGATCACCTTCAGCTAGAATTTGAAATGGCGCTTAAAAGCCTTTTGTCCCATTCCAATCTTTCTAAGGATTTTTGCCGCGGGCAATAGAGTACATAATTGAAAACTCATTTCAATCATACCGCGATCTCATAATCACGATGTAATAACAACTTTCGAAAACGAAATAAGAACGACCATTTTTTTTCGTGCACAGAAATGGGTAAGTAAATCCATTTTACCTTATGATGAACTTTCGGTATGATATCTTAAGTCTAATAGTTGTTAACTGGTCATAGGATGAACAAATTTTCCAAACGGCTATACAGTATTGGGATAATTAAAAGATATCTAAAACACTGTCTCGTTTTCTACTCCACTAAGCTGCTAACAATAGAATTTAGCGCAAATTTTCTGGAAGGTTGGGAGCGTGGCGGTGCTTCTTTTGTTGTGTATCATAATGGTAAGAAAGTCGTTGATTTATGGGGAGGATATGCTGATGCCGAAAGTGAAAGACCATGGAAGAAAGATACCCTTAATGTTGCATTCTCATGCACGAAGGTAAACACTTAATCTAAAGTTGATTTCTGGCCTGATCTCATTAGGTTAGGCATTCGCTGCTCTTTGCGTTGCCAAGCTTGTGGACGGAGGACACCTGAAGTACGATGATTTAGTGATCAAGTTTTGGCCAGAGTTTGGAAAACATGGTAAAGAAAATATCACCATCCGCTGGTTGCTGGGTCATAGAGTGAGTGCTGCCGAATCTTGCCTTCTACTCTAGTATTTGTAAAAAAAAAGGTGCCAGAGAGTTAGTTTTGAGATTTCCGGCTGGTCTCGCGTATACTGACAAGAAAATCCATTTTTCTATTGCCAATGACTGGAAAGCGATTGCAAGAGTTTTTGAAGAACAGGTATCAGCTAATTTGCAAAAATTTGAAGAACACCATTGTCTGTTAGGTCCCAAATTGGCCTCCAGGGACT